GAGAGAGAGAGAGAGAGAGAGAGAGAGAGAGAGAGAGAGAGAGAGAGAGAGAGAGAGAGAGAGAGAGTGGCGGAGGAGGAAGAGGGAGAGGAGGCGAGGCCTTCCTCCTTGATACCTGGCCCGGTAGCTATGGCGCTGCAGGTGGCTGGCGCTGGGCCGCGGACTGGGCCAGTGGCTGGCGCTGTCCCTGCTGTGCTGGTTCCTCCTCGCCGCTGTCTTGCTCTCGCCTCGCTGCTCGCGCTAACGCTGCTGCGCTGCGCTAATCTCACTCACGCTGCAATGCTGCGCTAATCCTGAAGACTAACGCCTCACTACTCACTAACTTCCTACTGAGGCTGGTACCCAGCCTTTTGTAGTGCTGGGCCGGCCTCCTACCTGCTGGTACCTACCGGCCTGGACCGTTGATCTGATCAACGGTCCAGTTTTAAAACTGGACTTGGCGCCTAAACGCGGCAGCCTTTGCACTGCGCCGCCGGTAGGTTCTATGCTGGACCGGTACCGGCCTTGTGGCCGTTGGCCTGGGCCTCTACCCCTGGCCTGCCTGAACCGCCATGGTTCTGGCCTATCTGGGCCTCATCTGAACCGTCGTCCCCTTAGGCCTACCCTGCCTGTCTGGAACCGGGCCCTAACTCGGGCTCATGTGGCTCAGAACACTTGGCTTGATGTAATGCCGCAGCAAGTGCTGTACTGCTGGGTTCATTTGCTCCGCGTGTAGTCTGGTTCCCATCTGCTGGGCTGTATTTTGCCACAGTTCGCTAGTGAAACGAACATCCTTATCACTTATGATAGATTTGGGTAAACCAAAATCCCGTACCCAGTTATCCATAAATAGTTTGATGACTTAGTTAGTCTTAGCAGTTTCTGGCATAGCCATTAGTCTGACATATTTGGAAAAACAGTCTACTATAACAAAGATGTGCCTTTTCCCTGACCTGCTGGTCACAAGAGTATCCATGAAGTCCATGGACACACTCTGACCAGGACCTTCAGGAATCGACAAGGGCTTGATGAGCCCGAGCGGAGCCTGAGTCCTAGGTTTGTCCCGTTGGCAAACCTGGCAGGTTTCAACATATCTCTTGGCATCTTGCATCATAGTTGGCCACCAGAATCTCTGTACTAGGTTAGCTGATGTTTTCCTATAGCCAAAATGTCCAGTTGCATCGTGACACTCCCCTAGAAATAAACTACGCAAAAACTCATTATTGGGAACACATAGTCTTTTATTCCCTGCCTTCTCAAGGATAGGCTTCCACCAATAATCGAGTTAGGTCGTTAGATATGCCAAACTCGGTTACCAAGGCCCCCAAAGAATCTGCCCTACGCGATAGCGCATCAGCCACTTTGTTGTACTCACTTTGTTGTACTCTCCCTTGATAGGATCAAGTTGATAGTCATACATATCTATCACTTGTATCCATCTCTCGAGTGCGTTTGAGAGTATCGACTGTGTTTTGATCCAGCGCAAGGTCTCACAGTCAGATCTTACATAGAAAAATCTGCCAAGGAGATAGTGTCTCTAGTGGACCAGCGCTCGATACAGGGCATAGAGCTCACACTTATAAGTAGACCTGGCTAGTTTATGAGATGACATTTTTTTACTCATATACTCAACCGGTCTCAACTTTGGCCCCTCCTTTTGTGCAAGGACTGCGCCTATGCCATATTGGTTGGCGTCTGTGGTCATGACAAAAGGCTTATCAGGATCTGGAAGTTTGAGGACTTCGTAGTGCGTCAGCGCATACTTCAATTTCTTGAAGGCCGCTTCACATTCTTGAGTCCACTCCCAAGGGGTGTCGAGTCGAGTTAGATTTGTTAATGGGGAAGCTATAGTACTATAGTTCTTAACAAACGGACGATAGTAGCCCGTTATCCCCAAAAACGATCTGACCTCAGTAACAGTCTGAGGTCTGGGCCAGTCACGTATGCTGGCCACCTTAGCATCGTCCGGCCTCAACCCGTCCGCAAAGATTTCACGACCCAAGTACAAGATCTTGGTGCGACCGAACTCGCATTTCTCCAAGTTAATCTTGTACTGGTGCTGTTTTAGGAGACGTAGCACTATTTTCAAGTGCTCAACGTGCTCCTCTATAGTCCTACTAAAGATAAGAATATCGTCGAGGTACACAACGATAAACTTGTCTAAGTACTCATGAAATATCCTATTCATGGCGTGCTGGAATGTCCCAAGGGCATTGCATAGGCCAAAGGGCATCACCACAAACTCGTACAGTAGGTCTGAAAAACGGTTTTGTGTTGATCCTCTGGTCTAATGGCAATTTGATGGTATCCGGACTTTAAATCTATCTTAGTGAAGTACCGACATCCCTGAACTCTATCCAGTAGGTCGTCGATGCGGGGTAGGGGCTCTGCGTTTTTAACAGTGATGGCATTGAGGCCCCTATAGTCAGTGCACATCCTCAGTGTACCTCCCTTCTTAGGAACAAATAGTATTGACGCACCGTAAGGGGAGGTACTAGGCCGAATCCATCCCTTTTCTGGGAGCTCCTTGAATTGGCGGCGGAGCTCATCCAACTCCGCAGGAGACATCCTATAGATTCGTCCTCTAGGTACTTTACTACCTGGGAAAACCTCTGTTGCATGGACCACCTCCCTTTCTACCACGCCTGTGAGCTCCTAAAAAAGGTCTGAATATGTTGCGACGACTGATTCTATCTTTGGGGGTGTTTTAACGGCCTCCCCTTTCTCAGAGACAAAGACTAGATACATGCCCTCGCGATTCTGCTTGTACTAGTTATAGAAAGAGGAAGCACATATGCAGTCGTAGTTTTCCACTAGACTACTAGCTTTATACTTCTGCAGTCTAACGGTTCTACCGTTTGGCAACTTGTGTATCAACACCTTCCTATCCCAATCAAACTGAGGTTGAGCGACCTCGAGGTAGTACATGCCTAGTAGCATATCGAAGGCAACGTTACCACTTCAGGGCGAGTAAAAGCGGCTAAAGCTCCTACTGGCCCGAGGTGTTTCCCTGCGAAGTGATCGCAAAAGCACCGCCAGGGTTCGAAGATAGTCCCACCACTGTTGGAGAGGCTACCCTTGTTAGGACTTTCTTACCTCGGCACGTTCTGGACGTGTGGCCATAGTTGCCACAGTTCATACACGTACCCCTAGCAACTCGGTCCCTCCACACCTCATACTCTAAACCAAGTTTCACCCAGGCGAGCGTTCCTTGGTCGCCCTGACCCGTAGACCGGCCTACCTTCTTCTTCCCCGTCCCCCTAGCCTTTTCTTTGATGGGTGCCACGACTCCCCCATCCGAAGTCTCGCTGGCCCCATCATGCTCTGTCTCCTCCCCAAGGTCTGGGAAGTCGTCAATTTCTGTCGCCTAACCATCGTGGTCGACGAACATTAGTTGCCCTTTCTTCTTCCAGTCCTGGGGGAGTCTCTTCTTCCTACCATCTCCCTAACTCTGATGCACGGACCCCAGCTTTGCCTCTACATCTGAGGGCTTCTTGCTGAGAGAAGCGAAGTTGTGTTGTTCGACATAAGCCTCATCCACCAGCTTTGTCCTAACCTCTGAAGGCAGACATCTAAGGTAATCCACGATGAGTACCTGCTGGTCATAGCGCACACCAGGTACCACGAGCAGACGTTCTACGGTATCCGCGAGCTCACGAACATTCTTGTACCTTCTGGCACAAAGACTGTTGATTGCGTCTGTGGCCTTTTGAGCCCCTTGAGGGTCATGCCACCTATTATACGCGGACCGTACGAATTCTTCCAATGTCTGGGCCTAGGCCTAGGCATCGAAGTTCTGACCGTAGCCCTGTTGCTGCACTAGGCCATTCAATCAACGGGCTGCTGACCCTTCTAAAAAGGAGGCAGCCACTACAACTTCTTAACCCCAACCGAGGTGAAGTTGTATATTCTGTATCGGTATCACTGGTTAGGGGACTCTGCAGACTGTAAAGGGCTTAGCCTCTTGATGAGGCTGTGAAACTCTTACGAAACAGTCTGTCACAGCCCCTCGTTTGTTGTCCTCTTCTACCTCTCTGCCTACATTTCAGTGGAATATTTTTTTTTATAAAAGGGAGGGCGGGGGGATATTTTTGTTGTTCCGCCAGGGACGTGTAATGACCCGTCAAAACACAGACCGAGAACACTGCTGATTTCTGAAGTTCTGCCGATGGAATGGATGCCTTGCTGAGATTCCCGCATTCTGCTGTGTTTCTAAGTCTGACTGTGTGTGCGTGCTTGTGACCTGCATGCCTGTCTGAGTGCTTGTTGGTATGAGTGTGTGTGGGACCCGCAAGGGTACTTGCTTGTTTGGTAGGCCGGTAGGGCCGGTACTTACCTGTGGCCGTGGCATTGAGGGTTGTAGCAGGGAAAACACTCAAGTGGCGAAGCTAGCGGCCCCGCGGCCCTTGGGGTAGCGGAAAAACACTCAAGTAGGCCGGTAGGCCGATACTGCACTCCACTGCAGTTGGCGTGAGGGGGTACTGGAGGCCGAGCAGAAAAAGACAAAGTTGGCATTTTTAGAGTCCAGTAGCGGTAGGGTAGGTCTAGGCCGGTACCAGTCCAACCAGTCTGAGTC